GGTTGCATACCACTACACAGTAATTTTAATTTCCATGCATGGACAGTCACACGTTTCTCAAACTGTTAAAAACACCATCTAGTATGTAAAGTGTTGCAAAGACCCGTTTTGCCCAATAGAATCATTCAACTTCATCCAGAAGCAAGTTTTAACCAATTTCAACCCACTTTGACATGTTTTATATGTTAAGCTTTCCTCTTCCCTTGTGTCATTCTACAGGTAGTTTTTTTATGCTTGTCACACTACATCTTCTCCTGCGTGTCTACCTTCTCTTTCCAATTATTTCAATTTTTAAAAATTCTTGTCCTTATGTCAGTCCCTTCTTCTAGCACCCCTGTTTCAAAACATTAATCTCTGCCCTTCCTCCCCTCTATAAAGTGAAAATGTTGAGGTGTCACACAGGCACAGAAAAAACCTCTAGACTGGCCTCCAATTCAATCTGTGGACCTCAACTTTTTTACTTTGAAACATGGTTACGAACAAAAAAAAATACTATTAAACATGTACTTTCCAATACAATTCAAGAAGTTAAGATACTAAAAAGTTTCAAACATGCTTTTGGAGGGCCTGCTGAGGCTTGTCCCCACCAAAGTTCTCTCAAAAATCCTAATAGGAAAATTATCTGTCACTGCAATAACAAACCTTGTTTAAGCAGTTTCAATTGTTTACTGAAACAGTAATCATTAGCATTACAGACTTGCTTCTGGGAGACACATGAAAAAAAACAACAAAAACACCCCAAACAAGTGGGACACGTACCCAAGGAAAGTATTCCAGCCAAGTGATGAGAACAGCACTAACTTGGATGCAGGCTAGTATTTCAATGGCATTTGTACAGCCACTATGAATGCACCGTACCAGCTGTACTTCAAACAGCTCTAACAAGGTTTATGTTGTTAACAAGTCAATCAGCCAAAGGAGACTCTCTAGGTTAAGAATATACAGATTACTTAAGACTGAACAACTGAAAAGACTGCTTGCACTCTCCCTTTTCATGCACTCCAACATAGCTGTTGAATCTCTCAGCTGTTATACACACAGTTAGAAGCATCCAACAGCTCATCCTTACTTCTCTATGCTGACTATTTGGAGGGATGAGAGACCCTCATGCCATCAATTCTAAGGTTTTACCTATATTTGGAAGTCTTTAGAAGCAAGTATTCTACAAAACTTCAGAGTAAAGGCTGCTCACATCCCTCCTTTCCTCATTGCTTTTCTTCCTGCTGTTGCTACTTCTCAGAGCTTCAGGATCAAGTATGGCCTTTATTAAGAGGAGTGCTTGGAGTATAATTTTAATGAGGCTTAGTCTTATAATGGTGTGCAATTTTACAGCGTATCCAGAAATATTTTGACTTTTAATTTCTTGTTTTTGTCTGAAGCACAAAGCACCTGCATGTTTTTGCTATGGCCCATAAAGCATTCTAGATATTATGGTCATCATGGATAGCATGAAACTTTTTAAAAAGAAAGTTAGCGTAATTAGAGCTCTTCATTTTCTCAGGGCATCAGTAGAAGGTCAGACTTAAGGTCATCTGTTCTTGTTGTGTACTGCTAGCACATGTAATTTTTTTTTTTTTTTAGGAGAGTAGAACTCCAGCACCATGTAAATACTACATATGGAGGAAAACCTTACCCTCTTTGAACATTCTGAAGCTCTATGAAAAGCTAGGAAATAGAAAACTGAACATTGCTTGAAAGCCTTCCTTTTACATATACTTTTTAGATATCCACTAGATGTGAACTCTGCCTTCATTCTTTCACTGCAACTACCTTGATTCAGGCAGTTTGAACAAAATTAATTCTTAAAAGTCCATTTCAGCCCTGGACTGCTTATGCTTATGCCTAAAGAATGGATGTCAATACAGGTAAGTGCATTGATGATATGGCAAGAACTAAAGTATATCCTGAGGCCTTCTTGAGCAAGAAGAACAGAAAATACTAGTGGTGTTTCCATCACTTATTATGGAAAATAATTTGAAAAAAAAAAAAGAAGACACACTTGAGTTCTCTGTAGCACTTAATAAGTAAAAATGCATCACTCTGCTTTCTATTGGAGAAGGACCAGTACAAACCAGTATAACAACTGGGACAATCGGGAACTTCAGAATGAGTGAATCACCATTCCCTTTCCAACACACATTCATGTTTATATACATATATATGTGTGTATGTATGTATGTATACACACATATATTCACAAGCTAAATGGATGCATATCTCAGAAGCAGCATGTGCATAAAGATAAAAGAATCCCTAACTGTAACACTAAGATCCTTCACGGACACTGACTTAGAAATCACTGGAAATATACTTGAAGTTTCTTCAGGTAAGAATGTTAAATTTAGGAAGGTTTCACTGTATCAGCTTCCACTCCATGTTTATACAGAGTTTCTATTCTGCCCTTGCTTAAAAGTAACCAGTCACAAAAACTTTTTATTGAATGCTCTCTGAAGTTATTACTGATACCATTGTGTGATACACTTCACCTCTGCCCAGAGACCACGCCAAGGCAGTACACTGCTCAGCCATGCCCTCATCACATTCCTCAGTAGCCCTGTCGCTGCTCACAAGGTAGACAGGCAAAACCGAGGCCCTCGGTTAATAACCAGGTCAGCAACCCCCTGGCAAGCGAGACCACTCTGCACAGAGCTGCCAAGGACCTCTGCGATTCCCCCGAGGGCAGCTGCCCCACTCGACGGGGATCGGGCCTTTCCCGCTGCTGCCCGGCCCCTGTGGGCAGCCCCGGCCGCGGGAGAGCAGGGCAGGGGGGGCGGCTCCCTGCAGCCCGCCGTGCCCGGGGGCGAGGGGCGGCCGGGACACAACGCCCCCCGACCGCGGCCTGCAATGGACACCGCGCTCGGCGGCCCTGCCCTGCCCGGGGCGGCGCGATACGAGCGGTCCCTCCGGGGCCGGCAGCTCCCTCCCCGCCGCTCGAAGGTCTCTGTCCCCTCGCAGAGGAGCGCGGGGTCCGAGGGCTTGGCGGGAGAAGAGTGCCGCGACCCCTGAGCGGCCGAGCCCCCGGGGCGCCGCGGGCGGGATCGGCCCGCGATTCCCCGGCCTGTCGCTAAGAGCCGCCCGAGGAGACCGCGGCCTGCAGCGCCCGGCCAGGCCCCGGCCTCAAGTTGCCTCCTTCCCCTGCCGCCCCTCGGAGCCGGGAGGCGGGGAAGCAGGAAGAGGCACCTGCACCAAGCGCTGCTGGGGTGGGGGGAGGCGGTCAGTCGGCCGCCGAGCCCTGCAGCCCCTCCCTGGCTGGGGGTGCAGAGCTTTTCCCCGTCCTCGGTGTCGCAGCTGATGTCAAGCCCTCGCCTCCCTCCTACCTGACAGCATCCCCCACCCCTATGGCTCCCTCAGCCCCGGGCAGGCTACAGAGGGGACCTTAAGCCAAAAACCATCACCACAAATATATCCCCCTCTTTCACAAACGCGCCCTGCAAGGGGAGGGAGGAGGAACAAAACAAAACCCGACTCCCCTCCCCCAAAAGAAGATGGGGTGGGGGTGGCCCCAAAGTGACCAGTCCTCCGATTAAACCGATCCTGTTCCCGCCCGATGCCGAGCGGTACTGCAGCCCCCCCGGCCAAACTCGGGGCCGCCGCCCGCCCCCGGCAGCGATTGCTGACCCCCGGCCCGGGGCACGGCGCTGACAAATGTCACTCTGTACCCACAATGAGCACCGCGGGGATGCTTCTTCTCCCCCGTCGTCATCACCCCAAAATAAGAAAATCCTCTTTTAAGAGGAAAGACATGCGAGCCATCAAATAAAAGGGCACCCCTAGCTCCCACCCCCAGCGCCCGGGAAACACTCTCGTAAAAACTTTGACCAGGGTTCCCCCCCCCGATAATAGTAGAATTTAAAACCTGTCAACCATTTTAGATCCCTATTTGAGAAAACATCATTCCCGGGCACCGGTGGATTTGGCAAACGGCTCTGAGCAGCGCTGCCGCGGCTTCCCTCCCCCGGGCCGCAGGGGAGGCGGCCGGGGAGGAAGATGCTTCCTGGGGAGGGGGTGGCGGGAGGGGGCGAGGGACGGGAGCGTTCGCTTTACCTGAGACCAGCCACTGGCCTCCATTGTTGGAGAATTCAATGGCATTGACACAGCCGAAGTGGCCCAGGAGGTCCTTCTTGTAGAGGTTCCTGCAGCCCCGCAGGCGTCTTCGCTGGAAGTCGTGGGTGAGCAGGGGGTCCCCCTCCAAGCCCCGCTGGGACAGGAACCCCACCACCGACCGCATGCTGCCCCCCCGGCTGCCTCTCCTCCTCATG